CACTCATTTTCATGGATATCACTCTCTGGTGGGCAGACAAGGGTAGAGGCAAACTCATCGCAATGCAGTGATAAACTTAACCACATACATGGGGATTAGTGAGAGGACCAGTGATGAACTCTGTGGAAGAGAGGGTATCTGGGATGGATCTCAAATGACTGCACTTTATAGCATTGATGTATTTAAAACCATCAGCAATCCCATGAGATAGGGAGGCTTCTGCTTCCATTACAGATGAAGAACAGGAAGGGGGAATTGGAATCCAAGTTTGTCACTTACTAAAGATCCCAATGGCTTGCCTCCTAATCTAGAGCTGCTCTTCTTCCCCTTCACCATCCTGTCTGGACAGACCTTTCTCAGGAGCCTTTGTCAAAGCCGCATGTCACAGGCTTTGCCCTCATATCGTCCTTCGTCCTGTTCTGTGCCCCAAACCGCTGGCTCTACCTGACCCTGGAAGGCACTTGGCTTAGCCATTTTGCTTCTGTTTCATTTTTTTCTTCCTTCACCCCCACCTGAAGCGTCCAGTAGACCTCCAGAGTTCTTTTTGCATTTGATGATTTTTAAAAATTAAATGTATTGGAATAACATTGGTTATTAATATATAAATTTCAGGTGATAACTTTCTAATAAGACATCTGTATACTCTATTGTCCTTTGGTGATTTTAATAGCTCCTAAAAGAAAGATACATCCAAGACCCAAAGAGTAAAGGAGAAAGATGTGTGTGGTTTTTTTTTTTGTTTGTGTGTGTGTGTGTGTGTGTGTGTGTTACAAAAACATTATAAACAAAAGTAAGAACACAAATGCTTTCTTAAAGCATTGTCAATGCTACTGCTTGAGAGAGACATTATGTGGGAAACAAACCATAAGCTTCTAAACACCAAGGACTGATATCCTTGCTCACTGAGGCCCCATCTTGCCTCCATCATGTGCTTTTAACATCAATACAAAAGGCATCTTTGGAAAAGCTGAACCATTTTTTTCATTCATTCACCATTCTTCTCTTCACTCATTAATTTATGCAATCATTTGCCTAATTTCAATTTTATTCATCCAACCAACCCAGCTGCCAATGGGTTTTGTGTGATGATACAGAATGAATGAGTTGCAATTTCATAAGGAGCTCAAGTTTAGAAGAAAGATACTTCCATAAGCAATTATGGTACAATATATGTACAAGTGCTACAACACCTGGATGCACAGGTGCTCCTTGAGTACCCAGGAAAACAGCAATGTGGTTTTGAGGAAGTCAGGGAAGGCTTCTTAAGAGAGCATGATACATTTGAGGAGCAGCAAATGGTTCTATAGCTGAGATGAAAAATTCAAGGGGATAGGATAGTGATAGGTCTAGAGGGGTTACTAGCCACTCAATCATAAAAAAAAAACACAAAAAAAAACCTATGAACCATGGTAATAAGTTGGATATTATAGTGACACCTGGAGTTTTTAAGCAGGGGAGTAACTTGGCCAGGTCTGCCCTTTGGAAATATCTCTCTGACTGTGGAGAAGGGATTGAAGAAGGAGGGTGAGCCTGGAAGTGGGCCAACCGTTAGAGGTCTGGGCAATTACCCCAAAGCTTCATGGTGAACTAGCCAGTGCCTGTTCTTCATGGTGAACTAGCCAGGGACTGGAGTGATATAAGATGTTTTAAAGAGGCAGAATCTACAGGACTTGGTGGTTGAGAGCAAAAGATTAGGAATAGGGAGTGTCATTCTTTGAGATGGATCTCAGCAATAGAGGAAAAGAATTTTAGAAAGCTTTGCAGAGGATAAGGCAAGGAGAAGACCCCAAGACTCTGATCTCCACATTTTCAGTTCTCCTCGCCATCCACCTTCTCTTCCTCAGCTAACCCAGCAATAAAATTCCAGATGGAGATGCCCCTTCCCCCACAAAAAAAAAAATCCCTCATAAAGGCTCTCAGCTGAAAAACTTGCATAGCATCATTCATTATGCTAGAATCTCATCTCCTCCAAGAATCCTTCCCTGCTAAGTGGAATAAGCTGCTCTTTTAACTATCTAGCCCATTCCTACTTTATTCTCTTTTGTAGCTCTTGGCTCCCTTGATGCCATATAAGCACTAGGAGGTTAAGCATTTTGTTTATTCCTTGATGTAAACCCAGCACCCAGAGCAGTGTTTGATATGTAGGCAGTTCACTATTAATATTTGTTGAATGAATGGATGAATGAGGACCTCCATGGACAACTAAGAGGAGCAATTCTCTGTCAATAATTCAAAGAAATTACTACCTTCCACTCATGCTTCCATGAAGCCATGGTCATGAGCAACGAAAGAATGAGCTTCTCTTAATCACAATGTAGACCAGTTGACCTCTTGGCAACCATATCCCTTTGGCATGCTTCTGCTCTGACTGAGGCTTTGTCCTAGGGGTTAGAGAGCCAGTATTTAAGAGGCCAATTTTAGGCAGAGCAAACAATGACCTAAATAATAGAGTCTAAAACTTAATCTGGGCAGAGTCAAATCTCAAATTCTCTCCCAAAGCAAGATACTGCAAATACTACTGGGATTTTTAATGCCAAAAAAAGAAAAGAAAAAGAAAACACAAGCAACTATCATTAGATACTTGCTAGAACAGCTAAACATTAAAAGACTGACAAAATCAAGTATTAGCAAGAACATGGAGCAACTGGAACTCCCAGATATACAAAATGGTACAACCACTTTGCAAAACTGGTGGGTAGGTTTTTATAATGTAAAACATTCACTTGCCATTTGTCTAGCAATCCAACACCTAGGAATTTAACCTAAATAAATGAAAATATATGTCCACACAAAAATTTGTACATAAATATTCATAATAGCTTTATTCATCATAGCAAAGAACTGTAGACAACCCTAATGTCTATCAGTAGATGATTTTAATGTAGCTTATTCATACAATGAAGTTTATTCACTCAATAAAAAGGAATGAACTATTGATAGCTACAGCAACATGAATGAATATTTTAAAATGTTTTCCTAAGTGAAAAAGTTCACAATATATGATTTCATTTATATGAAATTCTAGAAATGGTGAAATTTATAGTGACATAAAGCAGATCAATGGTTGTCTGAGATTAGGGTCAGGTCGAGGGGACACAACCAGCAAAGGGCACTGGGGAATTTGAGAGATGATGGAAAATTCTAGATCTGGAGTGCAGTAATGGTTATATACAAGTAGTGGCTCGGCACACAAAATTTGTGCACATTATAATGGAATTAATTAGAAGAAATATTTTAATATTGCTATTTGCCCTTTCTCTATAGTAGAAGTGTCAGAGATGAAAGAAAATTAGTAAAAAGTATATGAAAATCTTCCTCCTATCAGAGTCTGGGGCACGCTGCGGGACCCAGAGTCAAGTCCCCGCCCACCTGCATGCACCTCGAAATCTCAAGAGACCCAGCCCCAGCCAGCCCCACCTCCATCAAGCTGGGTGTGGGGCATAGCCTTGGGGTTCCCAATCAAGGCCAACCAGATGTGGGGCGCAGCCTCAGGTCCTCCAGCCCGACCAGGCACCACACAGCCTCAGGTCCTGCTGATCGCTCTTTACGGCTCATTATGGGAAACCCGCCTCTGCTGTGGGCACAGCCATCTTGTGACAGCGTGATGGAGTGAGAATCAATTTGCATATTACCTCTTTATTATATAGGATTGTCAAGATCTCATCAAACTACACTAAAATGGGAGTGATTTATTACATGTAAATTATATCTCCAAGTTAACTTATAAAAAATGAAACAAAAAAAATTTAAAGGCAAAAAAAGCAAAAGCAGCATAATCCTAGTTTTATTTGTAAAAATGCTTAGCAAGGAGTCTGGAAATATACATGTTAGTATTAAAGTCTGAGTGGTATTCTCCCCTGACTGTGCTAGAAAGTTCTGACCAAACCTGAAGCCTCCCGCAGAACCATCCTAGGAGAACTCCAGTGCAGGAGGCAGCCAGGCACCTTGCTCAAGGTTAAACTTGGCCAGCCTCAGCATTTCCCTGGGAGTTTTTAAAAACGCAGGCCCCCGCAAGCTGGCGTGGCTCAGTGACTCCGGAGGTCACAGCTCCATGCCAGGTCAGGGCACATGCCTGTGTTGTGGGCTCAGTCCCTGGTAGGGGGTGTGCAGCAGGCAGCCAACCAATTCTCTCTCATCATTGATATTTCTATCTCTCTCTCCCTTTCCCTTCCTGACTTCAATAAAAGAATATTTTTAAAAATAAAAATGCAGCTCCCATGGGCCTCCGCCCTAGGGCTAATGGATAAAACCTCTAACAGCAAAGCCCAAGGATCTGTGCGTTTAAGAGCCTTCCCAAGTGAATCTCATGAAGCGCATAGAACTTGAGCCTCCTTGTGTGGTCCTCAGACCTCAGTGCCTGAGAATACCTGGGTTCTTGTTAGAAACCCAGGTTCCCAGGCCGCCCGCCTCGGAATGCTGATTCTGCCTGGCTCAGGGTGGGCTCCAGAATCTCCACTGAACTACCCCCTGGGGGCTCTGATGTCGGTGGTCCCCAAACTGCTTGTCAGAAGCGCCCGTGGGGGAGGCCTGAGCACATTTCTCTGGCCCAGTGCCCGGGAGGGGGCGAAGGAAGAGGCGGCAGAACTGCTGTGGTGAGGCCAGCGTGCCCGAATTTATTAAGAAGTTAACAGAGAGGAGGAATCCGTGCGTCCCAAAAGCCTCCGGATGCTGACGAGGAGGGGTCGGTCCCAGAGACACCTGGAATGAGAGGAGGCCTCCTGGTGACCATGTCCCTGCGTGAGAGTCCAGCCAGCCGCGGGGATGCCCCCCTTCAGCCTTGGGGATCACTTTGGGTGGCACCCCGTTTCCACTCCTCACCAGCACGTGGCTCTAGCTCTCTGGGCCTTGAAACATCAGGGTGGGCACTGATCCACAAGCCTTCTCTCCCAATACCCTGTCCGGGAATGTCCTGGTGAGACGAGGGGGTCTCGGCCGGAGCAGGGAGGTGGGGGGGACGCGATCCGTGGGGCTGTCTCCATCGAGGGGGCGCGGGGGGCTCTTCACTTCGTGTCGCAGACGGCCGTGGGCTGGCAGCACACGGGCCCGCAGCAGCCCCCGGAGGAGCCACAACAACTGGACCCGCAGCAGCTGGACCCGCAGCATCCTCCCCCGCAGCCGGAGCCGCCCCCGCAGCCGGAGCCGCCCCCGCAGCAGCCGTTGCCACCGCAGCAGGACGACCCGCAGCAGCCGCCTCCGCAGCCGCCGCCTCCGCAGCCCGAGCCCCCGCAGCCGCAGCAGGAGCCGCAGCAGCCGCAGCAGGAGCCGCAGCAGCCGGGCTGGCAGCAGCACATCTCGCAGCACTCCTGCTCCTCACCGCAGCAGCCGAAGCAGTCCCCCGGGCAGCACCCCATGGTCCCCGCAGGTCAGGGCGCAGGGTCAGGACCGCAGCCAGAGCTTCCCCAGGTCTGACCGGCACCGGCTGGACGGCGGCTTTTATATCCCCAGCGCCACTGGGGTGTGGGCCCCAGGCCAGGTGTTTCCTTTGTTATTATTTGTGCCCGGGTGTCCAGAGGAAGGTCTCATTAGCCGCCTGTTTATTTTCCAGCCCCGAGTACCTCAACTCATAAAAAGGCCCCACTCCTCCCAAACTGGCTGTTTGTCCAGAGGGTAAAAATACACCTGCCGAAAGACCTGTCATCACGGCCAAACTGGGGCCAGCCATCATTAGCCGGGCTGGAGACAGGAAGGGGAAGCCCCCGCGTCCCCAGATCTGGCTCTGGCAGGGGGTTCCTCTTCTATGCCTTGTGTGGCGAGTGGGCAGCCAACCTCTCTGCCATGGTTGCTAATCCCGGAAGAAGAAGATTGCAAAAGCAGCTCAGAGGCCGCTGAGGAGGTCTGGCCGTGTGGCTCTTCCCAGTTGGAAATGGCATCTTCATCCCGGGTGAGCAAGGCAAATATTTGTGTGTGTGTGTGTGTGTGTGTGTGTGTGTGTGGTATGTGGAGTGTGCCGCACGTTTGTTTGGGCTTCCTCAGTGACCATCAATCATGAGTAATAACTGCCCTGTGAAACGGAGAGAGACTCACCATAAAACTGCAAAAGGCAGGGGAACCATGTTTCTCTGGCTGTGGATGAACTGAGCACTCGTCCTTCTCTCTAAATGGGCTGAAGGAGCAGTGGGCAGAACCTGCCACTCCCAGCCTAGGCCTTCCCATGATAGGAATAGGAAGAGGAGAACAGGCAGGAGGAGGAGGAGAAAAAGAAAGAGGAGGCGGCGGGAGAAAAGGAGGAGGATGTGGAGGACGAGATGAAGGAGGAAAAGAAGGAGGAGATGGAGGAAGATGAAGGAGGAAATGGAGGAAGACGAAGGAGGAAAAGGAGGAGGAGGAAAAGGAGGCGGAGGAAAAGGAGGAAGAAGAGATGCAGAAGAAGGAGCTGGAGAAGATGGAGGACGAGAAGGGAGAATTGGATAAAAGGAGATGAGGAGGAAGAAGAGATGAAAAAGGAGAAGGAGTAGGAAGAGATGAAGGAAGAGGAGATGGAGGAGAAGGAATGGAGGGAGGAAGGGAGGAAAAGAGGAGATCATTGAACATCCAAAACACCACAATGAAATGGGAATGCTGTGCACTTTTTTAAGACCATCTGTCAGAATGAGAGATAAGCATACCCAATACCCAGAGTACTGTGGATGAATAAAACTAGAATCCACAGGAGATGCAGGTCCCTGTGTAAACTCTACGGTGGGTCAAATTTCCTGTCTCCATTTGGGCTTCGCTACCCTGTCATCCTCTTGGAATGATAATAGCGACTCTGGAACCTGTGGGCTCAGCCCTCTGGAAGGCAGCACCTGGAGTGGGAGGTGGGGATGGAGGGTGGCGGTGGGGATGCAGATCTGAATCGAGAGACACAGTCCCTCCTTTTCAATTTCCTTTCCTTTTTTTACGACGAGCCTGGAGGTAAGGCAGCTCCTAGAAAGGGCTAGAAATCCTGAAAACCAGGAGGTGAGGGGAATGGAGACAGCGAGAAAGGATGGGCTACTTGGATCTGATGTAACCCTCAGTACTTCATGGGACGTGGAATGTTAGAACTGGGAGGAACCCCAAAAGATCACGTGTTCCAGGGTTTCTAAACCAGGTTTTACAATCGGAATCGCCTAGGCGAGGGTGGGGACTTCTGGAAAACACAGAGTCCACCTGTTAAATCAGAGCATGTGCTTGTGGGAGCTTGTGAAGCTATATATTTGGAAGTTTCAGATTATCAACGGATGAGGAAACACTGATGTAGCTTAACGCCACCATGACCATCACCCGCAAGCACTCTGCTATACAAAAGATGATAGCAGGGTCCAGGCAGGACACATTCCTGATAGACTTGACCGTGAAGGCTGTTTCCTGGTCCAGCGTTCCTCCCCCACTCCACTCCCACAGATGCACACCTCTGGGTAAGTAACACAGTGATGGTCACAGCAGATGCATTCTTTTCATTCTTCTTTAATAATAGGCGATGCATTCACATGGTCAACGTGCAAAAGGAATGCAGTGAACAGTCGTCCTTCTCTTCCTGTGTCCGGCCAGGCCTGCCTCTCACCCCGCCTCCCTCTGTCCCTCTAACCCCTGCACCTGAACTCACTCATCTGGAATGTGGAAATTGTGATAATAATAGCACCAATCTCATAGGGCTTCTGTGAAGGTGAGATGGGTTAGTGTATATGCAGATACATCACGTTGAACCTTAAACCATTGATTGGCCACATATTGCTTGATAAATATTAGCTATTATTTATATACAAAAAGAGATAGTTAGATGTACATATAATCCCTATTTTTATACATAATATATTACACAAATGGTAGCATAATATGCATCCTGTTCTTAACCCTTTTTATCCTCCTAACAAGATAATCATTCCATATCAGTACATAAAGTTTTTTATAGTATTCTATTGTGCCAATCATTTATTTAACCAATTCTCTATTGAAAGACATTTGTTTCTAATTTCCAATAGTGTGCTATTATAAACTTTGTTATTTTAAATATTTACTATTATATAACTTAGCCTGTCTTTATATATCCCTCCCATCCAATCTTGGGATAGAAATTGCTGAGTCAGGGAGTTTTTGTGTTTGTCATTTTGATGGATGTTGCCAGGTCACCCTTCATCCAGGTTGTACCAGTTTACGCACCCCTCAGCAAGTGCAAGAGTACTGTCTTCTCATGCTTGACCTACAGTGTTATCAGAGTTGGACCTTGACAATCTGATAGGAAAAAGATAGGATCTTACAATAGTTTTAATTTGCATTTTTGTTATTGCGAATAAAATTAATATTTCATATGCTTAAATGCTATTCATGCTCCCTTTTCTGTGGATCATCTTTTCTATTGTCCATTTTTCTATTGGGTTGTTGGTCTTTTTCTTTGATTGACAGGAATTCTTTATGAAATAGAAGGTAAAATATTTGCCTGTATTATGAGTTGTTCTCAGGCCCAGTGACATGGCTCAGGGGTTGAGCATCGACCTATGAATCAGGGGCTCACGGTTTGATTCCCAATTGGGGCACATGCCCAGTTTGTGGGGCATGCAGGAGGCAGCCGATCAATGATTCTCTCTCCCTCTCCCTTCATCTTTGAAACCAATGTCTCTCTCCCTCTCCCTTCATCTTTGAAACCAATAAAAATATATTGTTTTTAGGATGACATTAGCCTTTGGTGCTGTATTTTAATGCTAATTATTACTATAATATTTACATTATAAATATCATATCTGTTTATTGTGGAATTTCTGAAAAATACAAAATGATTAAATATAAGAAAATAAAAATCATCTATAAACCCCACAACAATGATGTTTACTTCTAATTTTCTTGTTTCCTTTTTAGTGTTTTTCCTAAATATTTGCATAAAATATTGATATGAATATGCATGGTATCTGAGTTTGGGGGGGTTGGGTAGTATCATAGCATTAAAGAGAGTGGCCACTGGTTCATGGTGGGCATCCACTGAAGTATGCATGGTCCTGTCTTATTCCTGACCACCATCCTCCCTCTGATGGCACCAGCTGGGATATCTGAGTTCTCCCTGCTCTCCACAGATTCTGCATCCATCCGTCACTCCATCTAGGAGGCTCAAGGTCTTCTCTGTCAGTTTTCTCCACCACAAAAGCCTAATTGGAATTGCATAAGCTCAGCATTGACTTAAACCATTCTCTCTGCATTTCCACAGGAATTACCCTACCCTGGCGGCGGTGACTATTAGAAAGACCCCACTGAAGTCATGAGGAATGGGCAGCAGTGAAAGAAATGGCAGAAGAAAGGTAAGAGCAGTGACTATTTTAAGGTCTGACATGTAGTTTTATAAAATCGGAATCATGCTGTGTAAATTGATTTATGCACTGAATATTGTACTTAGCCTGAGAAAATGCTCATAAATGTGTTGATTACTAAATATTATAAACATTTGGGCATTTATATTTTTATGTTGATATAAACCTGCCCCATTGTTGGATATCTAAGTCGTTTCCAGTTTCCCAATATTAAAAGCAATACACTGAGGTGAACTTCCTTAAATGTGAACTTTTATGCATCTTTCTTATCTCCCTAAAATAAATTCCTAGAAATGTGATTACTGAATCTTCAGCGTGTTAATAATTTTAAATATATGAATAAATATTTTTAAATTATCCTTCAGAAAAATTGTCCCCATTTGCACCCATTTCACAGTGCGTTCACCAATACTAGTTTTTCCTTTTTAATTAATTTTATTGGAGTGATATTGGTTAATAAGATTATGTCAGGTATTTCCAAAAAATGTATACATGCCTTAATCGGTTTGGCTCATTGGATAGAGTATCTATCAAGGGCTCCAAGTTCGATTCCAGTCAGAGGCATGTACCTTGGTTGCGGACACATACCCAGGGAGGAGTGTGCAGGAGGCAGCTGATGGATGTTTCTAACTCTCTATTCCTCTTCATTACTTTCTATAAAAAAAATCAATAAAATATATTTTTAAAAGTATATACACACTTTAACAAGTGATAGCTCAATTTTCTTTTTTGATAGCTCAATTTTGAAAATGAAATGTATTTTAATAAACACTGCTTTAGAGTTATTCAAAGTGTGTGTATACAGTTTTTTGGGACACCCTATATAGGTTTCAAGTGTGCATTTCTATGATATGGGATCTGTGTATGCTTAGTGCACCTGTCACCAAAAGTAAACTCTTCTTCCATCACCATATATTTGACCCCTTTACCCACCTCCTTTCCTCCAGTAGCCACCATGCGTTGTCTGTGTCTATGAGTTTTTGTTTGCTTTTCTTATTCATTCAGTTGTTACCTTTCAGCTTTATACCCCACATAGGAGTAAAATCAGGTGGTTCTTGACTTTTTCTGTCTGACTTGCTTCTTTTTCAAGAGAT